CCATAAATAATATGGTAAGTAGAGGTACCTAAGGGTAGCTATATATCCTTAAGAGGATCCGGAAGGGATATCCCGGGCTCAAGGCAATATATAGTAGTTAGGTAGGTGAGAGATAATACACTAAGGTAAGATAGAGGGTACCTCTAAGAGAGGAGAGGATATAGCTAGAAGTGGAGAGGATAACTGAAACCTTAACTAAGGGTGGTTCAAGTTCTATAACTGATAATAATCTCGGGTGACTGAGTAAAGTTTACACCATCGTCGATGACTGGAGAGGGAGCTATGTGGATGTTTGTAAAGGAGGGATCACCATCGAAGCTATAACATCAAAGGTTAGAGCATTACCCAGAAGGGACAAGGGACTCCCCCCAATGACAGAATTGCATGACGTGGATTACGGTGAACACATGTCTGTATTTAAAGACATATGGGCTATTGAAGTAATAGCCTGTTGTGTGATACAGTCCCAACAACAATAATTTGCAGAAGATTATGTGTTGGAAACCGATAACTAATGAAGAATTTCAACAATGGATGAACACAGTTGGTAACAAATTAAAAATTTCATCAGTAGAACAAGGATTAGTGCAACTGCAATTGAAAATAAATTACAAGATGGCGTTGAACATTCAATTCAGACAACTATCAAATATGGAATTAACCTTTGGTTCTTAACAGGGGATAAAACAGAAACTGCTATTTATATTTTATTTGCATTCTTAGAATTAAAATATTTAGTTATTATTGATTTAATAAAATTAACTTTTACTCTTGGAATAAAATAATCTCCCCGAGGCAGAACGTCTCAAAATAAATAAAGTAGTAGACAGTAAAACTAAATGAGAGGGTGTTGGTTCTCTATCGTTAAAAATTTTAAGCTATAAATATGTGGTCTATCTGTTTACCCAGGCTAACTAGCTTTGGTTCCTGTCCAACCTCTTCTCTCCAGTCAATAATCTTCTTAGTGTACCCACCTAAAGGTAACTGCATGTCTGTATTTCACAGTAGAAGATGATCGTAGCATCGGTTAACTTCCAGCTGTTATCACATGTCTACGGAGATCACCCGCGTAGTGGATGAGAGATTCATGAGTTAGTGAAATATTCAATTGATAAAAGTTGTTGAATGGCGGATTACTAGATTAGTTTATTTTCGTACCACATATTAAAATTTATAAAGGGGACAGTTGGTGTTTAAATGGGATAAGATATAGAAACACCCCAATAAAGAGAGAGTCTAAGAGGGCTACTATACTGTGTAAAAGGTAGTGAAGGAGGTCCTTCTACACGCTCTCTATATAAAGGGATAGTTTCTAAACAGCTAGGACCATAAGTAATAATCCAGCATACAATCTACGATGTGCCTTTGACAAGTAGAAAGATCTATCAATCTTAGAAAGATATTCTCGTTTTTTTAGTTTAAGGGTACCTTAATCAGTGTTAAGTATTTGGTGTTCTTAGGAGTAATATTACTATTCGGTGGAGGGGGTAGATGTCTGGGTACCCAGACATCGTACCCCTAATATCGGGGGTACCCCCTCCCTCTTACTGTGTCTCTCTTCTCTTTTAGAGAGGGTAGCCGGCTTACAATAGATAGAGCACTAGCGTTAGGAGAACCATGGTATCCTTTCCTGTGGGCGGGGCAAGAAGATATGACCAATGGGTGATTATTCCCTATCAACACAAAACTATCACCTCTATCTTAATCTTTACTGTGCAGGTAAATAAATGGCTAACCAGGTTAGGCTATTAACCACTGTCCACCGAGGTAATTATAGTGTAGGTTGCAAGCGTTGCTGGACGATTGGAAAGTGTCGTCCGTGCTCCGGCTTTAGATCAACCTACTATTCCAACGTTTATTGTCAGATAAGACCTATTGCAAAGAAGTTGCTTGATAAATGAAGCGGTGTGATAACACAATTAACACGGATACATGAACCCAGTTGTGCACAAAGATCCATCTGTCATAGGAAATGTGAATTTTAGTAACAGTTACCGCGGAAACTAATTTATGGTGCTTTCTGTCATCCCAAGTAAATAACTCCCTCCTTTGATAGTACACTCCTCACTAGACACCATCTATAATAGCTAACCCATAGACTATT